AAGAATATCGAAAGAGACCTATGCTCAGTCTTCTAATAAAGCTTTTAGTTTGCTTGTCTGATAGAACTGTAGCAATTGATAAATCAGTAAAAATTCAGGGCCCTTATTAATCAGCTGAATTTAAAACAGGACTTGATAAAATTAGAAAGTGAATTTTCAACACGGCTAGACGTGAGGCATATGAATAATTTTTCAATAGAGCAGTTCAGAATAGTGCAAGTGCGTATGTCGGGGATTATTCAAATATGATTTGTCCCATCATAAATAAGTATCATCTACGAGCTATTGTCGAAAAGCAACTAGCTCAAAATGTTAAAGATTTGGTCAAGGTTAAATATGAATCTCTGCGTGAGAATAGTGAAACATGTAATACGTAGGTTAAATACGATAATCATTCACAAAATCCACTTTTTGGTTGAATTGCACATGCGTTTCGGTTGAATGAACTCTTAGCTGCTGTTGAGATGTTGCTGGTACTTTGTGGCATCTTTCTTTTAATGACGGCGTTCCTTAAAACGTTATTACACCATCGAGCAATTTTAAAAATGTTATTGACGATGTTGTTCAAAGAAAGAGTGTAATCTTGATTCAAATAAATGAGCTAATTTTAAAAGAAAAATTAAACTATTTAATGATAATAAGGATGGTAAAGAGATGAACAGTAGAAGCTTCAAGACTAGCGTGGAAGCAGACATTCTACAACTCTTTATTCATTTCACAGCAAAACATGCATCATCTCTCTACAGTGAACACCTCCCTTTAGTGAACGCTTTTGAAAAGTCTCAATGGTGTTCATAATAGGGAGGTTTTACTGTATTCAGATACAAATATTCAATGAATAAGCCATATAATGATTTCTACTTCATGAAAGAAAGTCTCCAATTTTCTTCGATTGCACACTAAACTAAATTTATTTCACACAAAATATAGAAACATCTGACTATACAATAAAAAACTACGAAAAATGTTCCTGAGAAATTGAGTTGAACAATGCTTCAGTAAATTTCACATACACAGAAAAAACTAAGTTATATTTAAAAGAAGAAAAATGAATACACGATGTATACAAATAATACGTAGAGTAATAATAGTCATACCAAAATTGTATTGTTAATTCTTATCAACAACTTTAACGTCTTTAAACACATCAAGATGGTCATAAATTTCTTCTATAAAAACAAACAACAAATATTAGTGAAATTAAGAGGGAGAAGAATGAAATTCTGAGCTTGACACACTTTTTAGCGGCAAATTTTCAAAAAGAAACAGTTGATGATTCTGTCACATTTTCAATTCGGCAGAGATAATGATGCAGGAACTTACTTAGTGAATCAATGAGTGGTTGTAATTCCTTTTTTTGCTTTTTTCGATCTTTAACTAATTTTAAATATTCTTCATGTCGACCTTGATGATGTTTGATTAATTTATTTAAATTTCTCTTCTGTTGATCAGTCTCACCACCATCGTCTTCTTCTTCTTCCTCTTCCTGGACATCGCCACCATTGTGAGTAAAATGTGTGAAAAATTTTTCTGCTTGATACGTAAAGAGATCATCATACGATTCACCATTGACTTTTGTTGAACGATGTTCTTCATCGATTTTAGCGATATATTGGTTATATAAACGCGCTATATCTTCGGCATCTTGGTTGTACGAGGCTGCCACTTCTTTCATATCATTCAAAAATTCATCATACTGATTACGTAATGAATTCGACTGAGAACGATATGACTCGATTAATTTAGCATAACGTTTACTATATTGTTTCACACTAGATTTAATCTAGAAAGATAGTTAACGGCAACGTAATGGATAATATTTCAAATGATTTTATTAAATATTTACGATAAGATGCCTAACAGCAAGGTGATCATTAGTACGTGAAGAAGAAGTATGTGATATACCGTTTCTATTTCTTTAAGATTTTTTTCTGTTTTCTGTTGTTTATCTTTTGTCATTCGTTGATAATCGGCAGTTTTTTCACGATTTGAACGTAATTCTTCGCTAATTCGACTTAATTCAGCCTTTTGTGCTTGCTTTGTTTGACCGTGTTTTGCAGCTTTTTTCCAATTTTGTTCAACTTTTTTTAATTCGTCGGAATTCTGCAATTAACAGAAAAAAACAAAATAATCATAACTCAATGAAAAGACAAATCTACGTACAGCTTTTGCTTCATTTTGTAATTGTTGTTCACGTTTTCTCAATTCTAATAATTTATCGGCTAAATCTTGTCGAATAATACCAATAGCATACTAAATGACGAAAAAACACAGTGAAAAATTATGCTTGTTGATTAGGATTAAAGATATAAAATTTACTTTAGCCTCTTTCAATGGATCATTTTCCTTTGTTTCCCCTAATATATCGATTAATTCAACATTGGCTTTTTGTGATACACATTCTTTTACTTTATAATTATTTAGTTTCATCTGATAATTAGCGAGACTTTCATGTAACTAAACCAAAAATCAGATGAGATAATAGCTTAATAGAGAAATAACATATAATACCTTTTTTGTCAGATTTGTATATTCAATCGTTGCTGAATCTTGTACTTGTTGCTCTAACAGTAATGTTTGCTGTAATACTTCATGTTGTTGCTTCAGTTCGGTATTTGAACGAAGTTTTTCTTGTAAATCTTTATTATGTTGTTGAGAATAATATTTATCCGATAATTCTTGATTACGTTCAGTTAAACGTTTTTTTTCAATGTCTAAAATAGGTAGAAAAGTATCAAAGTGTTTGATAGAATCCTAAATCAGAGAATCCATTTTTTTAATATTATCGACAGGAGTTTCACAAGTGTGATTATCTTTCATCTCATTAAAAGCCATTACATATTTGTCGCTTTTGAATTATTTAATGAAATCTTATAACGAGAAAGGTGTGAAGTGTAAATGTTTACCTTTATCTTGTACAACAATATTTAATTCATTTAATTTTTGTTTTTCATCATTAACCGATTCTTGTTTTCGACTAAACTCTGACATTTGTAGTTCGTTTCTCTTTGTTAACTCATTCCATTCTTTTTCAAGTTGTTCTCGATTCAATTGCACTTGTTCTTTCTAAACAATGATCAAAACGATTTTCAAATAGTTGACAAGAATATCAGACAAGATTATTACCTTTTGTTTTAATTCTTGATGTTTTTGCTTGAGTTTTTGAATATTTTTTTCATATTCAATTTTATCAATTTGTTCTATTTGTCTCATATCACAAAAGACGTCTTTTAATTCTTGTGTATACTCTTTTAATTGTTCAGCATCACCACGATTTAAATAGGCATCTTTTAATATTGATTTAATATCTTTTAAATAGTCATTTTCATGATGTTCACTTTTTGATGAAAAATATTTGAGAAGAAACTGACCAAATTGTAAGAGAATTTCAAATAATGTTAAATTATCAACTTTTGACATTGGATTTTTGAAACTTGATTTTGTTATTTGCTGCATTGGTATATGTAAATAATAAATAACGAGTTCAAAATAGCTATAACGATCATGAAGAGTAATTTTTGTTTTATTCGACGGTGGTGGTGGATGAAATGGACACTGCATATCTACATATAATCGAGGATCAACAAGCATCTAAACAAATAATACAGTAAAAAAATAGATTTCTCTGTTAAATAATTACTTACTTCAAAAACATCCAGTGCCATATCAAAGCGGTATGTCGGTGATGGTTCATCAGGAATTTTAAATCCAATACCCAATTCTGCTAATACCTAAAATAAAAAGACTGTAAACATCATATAATTTACTTTTTTTTATGTCTGTATCAGTTACCCCATTTAATTGATTTACAGTGTCTCTCATGGTGGCATTTTTTGCTGTCCTTACAGCGGTATTTGAATTAGCAACCAAATATTGATGATTACTCGCATTCATTGGTGTTATTGGGCCGGCGATGCCAGTTCTATTCGATGAAGTTGCCGATGGTGGACACATTATTTTCGATGATTGAGGTGTATAATTGGCACGTGGATTAGCTGGAGGAATACGTGGATTACGAATAGTTGCTGGTTGCTGTTGTTGACTAAATGACGAGGATATCGAGTCGTAGAATGATGCTGAAGTTGACGTCTGGCTACTGTTGATACCATGGCCGATCGGAGTCTGGTTTACTGACTGTTGTTTACCAGCAAATATCGATTTTTTATTCATTTTTACTGAAGGACAGAAATAATTCTTCACAAAATCTAAACTGAGGCAGTTAAACCAAACTATTTCTTGACTCTGTAGAATCAAAATAAGCGTTTATTGTCGGGGTTTTCTCTAAAAGTAACAGAAATATAAATATTAAAAAAATACTATATTATAACCGTAGAGAACAATAAAGTAATCTGATTCAGCGTCTAAAAAAATCCGAAGAGACAACTGAACAATGGAGCTCTTTTTCAAGTCTTTGGACATGGATGCAAAGGGAACAAGCATAAATAAATTTTCGAAAATAGAAAGAAACAATTTTGGATTGATATGTGCATAGGTGACAAAACAATCTTAGCCGACTGTGGGCTCACCTCATTTTCAGAACCTACGAAAGACGTCTCTCTAATGTCGTATTGACAACAGCCTTTTTTACTACGCAGAAATGTCACACTGTAAATTTGAAAAAAAGAAAAGTCCAAAACATACTATTTATTTACGGAATAAAGTGCGAGAAACACATCACGAACTTTTCTTTTTTCGAATTTACAACATAAAAAGTAAAAGGTCCAACAAATTAAAAATTGAAAAAATAATCAGTGCCGTTACAAAACGAAACAAAAAAATATTTGTTTGGTTCATAAAGACAAAGCCAAAAGTATATCAGCAATTCATATGGAAGGAAAGAGGACTAGTCATAACGATAATATATTACTGTCCTGTATCGATAAACGAACCAATCCTAAACTAGCAACATTTGGCGGCTGTTCATTACTAGAAAGCATTTTATCGCTAGATCAGGTATGGAATTTCAGAATCGATAGTAAGTCTCTTTTCTTCGTTTGATAGCTACTACGTTAAGGTAATCGATACTAGCGACATCGAAGACAGACGGGAGCAACTGAACTGAACTGAACTGAATTTTTATTTTGGCAAGCATGGTTGTTGCAAAGAAAGGCTAGCTTATGCTAATGCAACACCGAAAAAAGTGAAGAAATAAAGAAATACTAGCAAACCTGGTCGCTATTTGTGAACGACAACCTCATGTATGTCTATATAACATATAGGTGAAATTTAGATGTGCGAGATGTACAAGTTAGATGCAAAACTTACAATCAACATTGAAGTTTATTGTAGATCTAGTTTTATATCTTTGTATCGTTGACATCCTTCCTTATAAAAGACAGTGTTTGCGAATTTCTTAAATCTTTAATAGACCATAGACCAATGAAAAAGATCTCATATTTTAATCCACGAGAAATTTTTTTCGAAATTTTTATCAAACTTTTTTTCAACAGTAGTTACGTTAAATATTTATAATTTTCACTTTTTGCAATCGTTCTTCCCAATGAATGTACTTGCGAATGGGTACTTGTTTACTTGTAAATTTTCACAGGTACTTGATTTACTTGTTGGACCTTCCACAGATACTTGAGATTACTTGGGCAAGTGCTTGGCAAAAGACTTGACAGGAAGATAAAGTAATTCAAGTGCTTGATTTTCTTGGGTACATTCACTAGGGCTAGCTCTCACCCCAGTGAATATACTTGGTACTTGATTACTTGATGAGTACTTGGTAGTACGTGACAAGTTAAGCACTTGGCAAGTACTTGAGTAAGAACTTGCGAAGCTTTGTTACTTGACTTGCTTCAGCCAGGTACCTCGACAAGTCAGTCATCCTTTTCATTTGCCTTGTCCACTGGTATATAAACATCACAATATCAATCGTTATGCATTTATAAAATAAACTTATATATTTCTACTGAGTTGAGTAAACTTAGTAGCCGTGCATATATTTGCTCCACAAACGTAGAGTATAATTCCAGAATATATGTAAAATATAAAATTAAAATAAATGGAACAAGTACTTGACTGAACTTTTTCAAGTAAATTTACTTGCACAAGTACTTACATTTTACTTGTCAAGTACTTTCTCAAGTAGTTAACAAGTAAACTTACTTGGAAAAGTCAACAAGTACTGTCCTCATTACTCAATCCAAGTACTTGCGCAAGTACATTCAGTAGGGCGGAGTATTTTCACATACGTAGATATTTTTCAACAGCAGTTTTACCACCATGCCAAGTTGAGTCAGAGCGAGCGAGTTGAAATTAACGTTTAAAGAAACGCGCTTTAATAATAACCATTATACAGTCGTAACGGACTGAGAAAACACTCGAGCACATTGTTGTTTTTAAAACTAACTATACCCAGTTTTCAGCTACCCAGTTAAGCTAGAAAATTGAAAAAAAAATAAATTTTATAGGTGGTACAATACGACAGATGAGATTTGTGCTTCAAATCTTTAGGTAGGGCCAGATGCCGATTCTAATTTAGTACTTCTATGTTTCTATCAAAAATATCCTTTTTTATTTTTATAAAAAAATCACACAACAAAAATATTTTTCTTAACCACACAAATAATACAAAACGTACACTGTAAGGTTGGAAATTATTTATGGAAAATGCTCGGCGAATTTCAAAGAGTACATATGGGAATTCCGTGGGGATTTTCCAGTTTATAGAAAATCGAATTTCCAACAATCTAGAAAATCGC